AAAAATGTGCTGAACCACAAGTTCAGTTTGAACTTCAAGGTCAGTAGTTCAAATCCATAAGCCTCTCCTCAAAACCCTACGTTGTTGTTGGTAGGTGCCATTGAGTCAGTACCGACTCATAGCGACCTTATGCACAGAAGAAAGAAACACTGCCCGATCCTGGGCCAACCTCACTACCATTGCCAAGCTTGAGACCATTGATGCTGCCACTTTGCCAATCCATTTCACTGGGGTTCTTCTATTTCTTTCTATAAAGGGTCCCAATAGGTTGGAACCAACTTGATGGCACTTAACAACAACAACGATATATATAGGAGTCTGGTGTGGTGCTGTGGGATGATTCACTGGAATGCAAGGCTAGTTTGAACTGTAGGGTTGTCGGTTCAAACTCACCAGCTGTTACTCGGAAATTCTATACAGGGTCACTATGAATCGGAACTATATATTTATATTTATATATATAGTACTGATGTAGCGCTGTGGGTTAATGTGCTGGACTATAATGTTGATGACCATTTTCCCCCTGGAAATTCTATACAGGGTTGCTATGGGTCAGAACTGACTCGACAGCACATAACAGCAGTAACAGCATATGTATATGACTCATGGTGTGGTGCCCTAGAATAAGCACTGGACTGAAAAGTCAGTTTTAACCACAAGATTGGTTGTTCAAACCCATCAGTCACTCCTCAGAAACATTATACAGGGTTTCTATAAGTTACAATTGATTTGATGACACCTAACAGCACACACACACACACACACACACACACATATATGTGGGGCTCTGGTTGCAAAGTGGTTATGAGTTGGGCTGCTAACTTCAAGGTCAACAGCTCAAAACTACAAACTCTTTTGATGGAGAAAGATGAAGCTTTCTGCTCCCGTAAAGATTTATGGCCTCGGAAATTCTATGCAGGGTTGTTATGAGTCAGAACCAACTCTACAGCACGTAATAACCACCTAGATTAGCTAGCTAGCTAGCTAGCTAGATAAATGCAGAGGAAATCTACCACTATGGATGGTCCTGAAGCTTCATTCCTATGAGACCTTATCTTAGAGACACAGTATTTAGTTTGCCTCTATAGAAGTGTAACCTAATAGGAAAATCTTAAAACCAATCTTCTTTGATTTGTCATCCCTTGCACTGAAGTCTACTCTATGTAGGGCAGATACTGGAAATTTGGAGAATATCAACTACTGACACCATTATTCAAGTTTCAGAAATTGCTTTGCTCCTCCGGTAAGTGCTGCTACCATATTGTCTGAAGCAGGCAAGGGTACAATGGACATCTCAATTATTCCATGGGGACATTTACTCAGTGGTGATTGGATGACTCCCCCTTTTGTGAAAGACAGGGACAAGAGTGACTGGGGAATCTTACCAGGGCTTGGGAAGATATCTCACGGGCTTTATGGGCTGTAATTGCTAACTGAGACTTTAGACGAGGATAGGAGCCTTTAGGGACTTTAAAAGCCTCTGGAATTTGGTGTGAACTGAAACAGAAGGTCATTGCTAGCAGGGAACATGATATATAGACAGAGTGCCGAAACAGGGGGGTGATGTTGCAGGACCAGGAGAGCAAAGCAGAATTTAAAGTCACTCTTGGAATTTTTTCTTTTCTTTTTAATTTTCTTCCCTGAATCCTGACACAATCCAAGGCAAGATTCGGATCAACAAAGGTCCGATGAGAACTGGCCCTATTTCCTGTGGTCATGGTCAGCCCCACTCAGCCATGAGGAGCAAACTCTGCCAGGGGACATGGAGGGGAGAGGATAATGAGCCTTCTAGTGTGGCAGAGGTGCCAGTGGTGTGATGAATAGCATGCAACTCTCTCTATGCAACATGCCCTTCATCATCTAGTCGAAGTGGTTAGCGAACTGTCAGAGAAAAATAATTTAGTGGTGGTGGTTTTAACTGATGTGCTGCATTCTGGGGTCAAATGACTATTACAAAGTAGTAGCACTGCCTAGTTTCTTCATCGTGAGAGCTCAGGGTTGACAACATAAAAGAAACAGGCATCACGGCCAGAATTCACTGACATCCTTCAAATCTCACCCTGGGAGAGGTGGAGAACAGGCACAGAGAAATTGGGATAGGAAGAGAAAGGACATCTCTTACTAAACAAGCAATGCCAGACCCTACCAGGAGACAGTCGAGAAGAGGCAAGCCACTCTCTGGAAGCACCAGAATGAATGTATCAATTTTGGGATGATTTCCGGTAAAGCAAAGAGAGGTTGGGAATAAACCCACAGGTCAGAGGTGGTAGAATTTCTTAGAGAACCTGACAATGCAGGGGAGTCCACAAAGGTCACTAACAGTCTCTGCAGGGACTCGTCCTCTATGGCACAGCTTCCATACCAGGTGCTTGGAAAGCATAGTGGTTTCATGGGCATTGTTGTTGTGATAATCCCTTGGGGGGTGCAAACAGTTACGTATTCAACCATTTGTCTAGAGGTTGGTGGTTCAAACCTACCTAGAGGAACCAGGGAAGACAGGCCTGAGCATTAGCTTCTTGAAAACCTTTGGAGCAGCTCTGCTTTGCACACATGGAGTCACTATGAGTCCACTGTAACTGATGACATCAACCCTGGGCACTGCTGGTAAGTTAAAGCTACAGAGAGTAAAAGGACACCATGTGGTTGTAAGAGAGAGCAAGGCTACAGAATTCCTCTAGCAGGCACTTGGCTGTTGTGTTACTGTTAAGTACCATCAAGTCAGTTCTGACGCACAGTGACCCTGTATAGGGTTTCCAAGGAGCTGCAGGTGGATTTGAACTGCTGGCCTGCGGTTAGTAGTCCAGTCCTTATCATACAATGTCACACCAGGGCTCCTGGAGATGCTTTGGGATAGCAATTAAGTTGGAAGGCTAGAGACTTACAGTGAAGCTGTATAAGCATTCTGTTTTCACTTAGATTTGGGGTCACTTGGAAAGCAAGGCCTATGGAGATTATGGTCTAAATTTCTCTAACTTACTCCTTAGATAAATCATTAGATGCTCAGTAAATATCTGAAAAGAAATGAATAAATGGAGGAGACAGATACTAGGAGAAACACTCATCACATAATCTCAATTACTTTGTTTAATAGTCTCTCCTTCATTAGGAAGGAGCTCTGGTAGCGTAGTGGTTACGAATTGGGCTGCGAACCACAAGGTCAGCAGTTCGAAACTACCAGATGTTCTGTGGGAGAAAGATGAGGCTTTCTGCTCCCGAAAAGATTTACAGCCTCGGAAACCCTGTACAGGGTCGCTATGAGTCGGAACTGACTCCACAACACATAACAACAACCTTCATTAGGAGCTTTGGGTGGGACAGTTAAAACACTTGACTGCTAGCAAAAAGGTTAGAGGTTTGAGTCCATTCAGAGGCATCTTGGAAGAAGGTCTGGAGATCTACTTTTGAAAAACCAGTCACTGAGAATCCTAAAGAACATAGTTCTACTGTGACACACAGGGGGTCTCTATAAGTCTATAAGTTGTAAGCTACTCAAGAGTAACTGTTTGTTTTGGCTCTCCCTCATTTGGTAACACTACATATATATA